GGAGATGCAGAGGACCATCTACTGACTATGCCCAAAGCAGGCTGTGAAGAGCGAACCCCACACCTGGCTTGTGTACCGAAGCCTACCTGCCAAGGTCAGAGTGACTCACAACTAACCTTTACCCTAGAAGGACAATGTTCTGATTACAACCATGTATTGTGTCTATTCTGTTCCTAATCTGAGAATGCTTTGTCTTGTCCTTTATGAGCCCTGTTCACATTATTTTCCATAGAAACCACACAGTCACCTTTACTCCACTTTATTGCCAATAAGAGTCAGTGCCTGGCACTGGCCAGTGCCTTTGTCAGTTACACCAGCATTGATTGTCCTGGCCCCCGCTTTCTCTCCTACTTCGGCCTCTTAATGTATTTTTTTGCCTTAGGCCGACATCCTCTACTGGGCAGGTGGGGATTGGAACCTGACTGCAGGGTCTCCAGCAATAAGCTCTTCGGTAGACTGATGCAGGGATGGGTATCACATACCCCTGGATCCAGTCATCTCCCAAAAGCCTTGCCTATGAGCACATGAGGTTTTGGGGGAACATCTGGATATAAATCATAACACTTTACTTCTAGCAATCCCTAGTATAAATTATCACTTATTTTTATTCTTTTGTTCTAGTCCTTGTTGTTTTTCTCTTCCCTTACTTGAAACATACCCTCAAACAGCTGTATTTACCTTTCCAGTAAGAGTTAGAAAACTTGAATACCATACACACTGGGAAGAGACAGAAAACAGAAATCAGTGGGTAATGGGACAGACATAAGTGCCTCATGATTCTACAGAGAATAAGTAATTACGTGTACGAAAATATAGAATCCTAAAGGCAAGTGTCCGAATGAACACTTATTCCTCAGAAGGCTCTAGAAATTATTTTCAAGAAATCCTCTTCCAAGTGTGTGGAGTAAGCCCACTCTCGGGTGACTCGATCTTGTACCCCACGATTTGTTGACTGGAGGCCACTGAGTTCTTACACAGCTCCTCAACAATGAGCTGGCAGCAAGTCAAAGGCCTTCTCATGAAACAATTTAATTTCCAAAATGACGTGCAAGTTGTCCTTAATCATTCATGCCTAAACATATTATAGGTTCGTAAACAGAATTAAATATTGGCCACGATCAATTCCTTCAGTTTCTCACTGTGTACTCTATGTGTGACTGGGATATAGGTCCTGGGGCATGACAAGTCACTTTTTCTTTTCCTGCTTATTTCTATACTCTTTTAGTCATCATCATTCTGTCAGAAATAATCACAATTATAATATTTGATATGCAAACAGCATTTTATCTCATTTTACATCACAGAAATATTTAACTTCTGCCTAGTTTAGGGTTGTGAGGAAAGAGTGAGCAAAGCCCTTTGGGGGTCTTCACTCCCGGTCTTCTGTGTCTCACTGAGGAGGACATTTCTCAGGGAACACAGTGGGAAGAAACTCTACTGCCAAGCAGACCTACTGCCCTTTTTGAGGCAACTTAAAGAAATCACGAGACACAGAACATTCCAAATAGGTAGTAGTTACGAGAGAACTGGCACAGATTTTAAAAATTAATTCAAATTGTGAGGAAAAAGAAAATACTGGAAATAAAATGATCATTACCCTTGTTGATTTGTAACTCTGGTCTTCTGTTGAGAATAATAAAGATTATCCATAGTTCTTATTTTTACTTTGATTGTAAATTGCAAATACAGCTAATGAACTCAAAGAGATCTCAATATGAAACATGATATATTCTTGTGTTAGTGAGTTATGATCAGTTGCATGATATTTAAAGAATTGTACTCTTTTGTCATAATAGCTACTACCTGAATCTAAGTAATAAGAGGTAAAAACTAGATTTTCTTTGGACCCTCTGCTCCAATAACTCCAATTAAATCACCAAAACAAATCCTTCATATGAAATGTGACGACCAAGAGAGAAAAAAATTATACAATAGAATATAGTAATGAGAATTGCAGTGATGAAGTTGAAGACAGAATTTTAGCTAATTTATGAATAAGAAATAAGTCACCTTTACAGAACTTAGTAGAAGCAAACTCAATTGAATAAAACTACTTCAGAGACAGACTAGGATTAAATTTAACACACATTAGTTTATGAATTAGGTTTCTAATTAACTGTGTTCTATGTAGAAAAAATAGCAACAGCTTTGGGAAAATATTTTATATCACAAAGTGAAGTATATATCACAATTTAAATGTCCATTTAAAGAAACAATGAAAGAGTCTCTAGTTGTATACTAAATTTATCTTGACTGGTGTGTGAACTGCTGATACTTTACAGAACTGCAGATTACTGTAACTTGTTTGATTAAATATTGAAGTTAAAACATGTACCTAAATTTAGTTTAAATTCAATTACTGATTCAACAAGTATTTGTTGTGCTTAATTTGACTTTCACCCTGTAAATGCTCCTGGCACACATTGAAGTACAAGATTATTAAATTATAAAATTAAATTTTGACTGAATCCGTATTCATTTGAAGTTTAAAAACATGAAATCCAAAGCTGCCCATAGTTATATGGTGTTAGTTTAAAATGTTGTTTACAGGCAACAAACTGATATGACTCTAATAAGTGTGGTTTTTCACAGGTTGAAAAATGTTAGTGTTTGGGACAGGAAAAATACTACAGTGAGGTACAAACATTAAAGAAACAAACCGTCTTAATTTTCCTGAAAAACGCTTCTATTTACTTTAGCATTTAGTTTTTAATTTAGTATTTAGTTTTAATATTCTATTAGTTTATGTTAGAATTCATAATGGAATAAACTATGTCCTTTTGAAGTGAGATGAAAAGATATTATAATTACGGTGGTGAGACAGCAGACAGCATGCATGTGGCATTTCCGTCATGCTGGACACATGTCCCATGGTCTCCCTTTAGCTATGGGAGACGTGGAACCCCAGCTAGTATCAAATTCCACATATACTCTACTATTTGCTGTTCTGTACGTACTCATGATAAAATTTAATTTATAAATTAGGCACACTAAAAAGGTAATAACAATTACAGTACAATAAATCAATGAAAACAATACACTGTGATACTATTGCCAGCACTGCTACTCTTGTAGTTTGGGACCATCAGTAAGTGAATCAAGGGCTACAGTAACACAAGGCACTGTGATTCCGCTGCAGCTACTCTGATAACCAAGGTGGCTAGGAAGTGACTAATGAGTAGGCAGCATATTCAGCATGGCTGGATTAGACAAAGGGGCAATTCAGGCCCAGGCAAGGCGGAGCAGGAGGGAGTAAGATTTCATCACGCTCCTAGAATGTCATACAATTTAAAACTTATGAGTTGTTTATTTCTGAAAACTTCCATTCAATAGTTTCAGGGTATGGGTGACCACAGAGAGAAGGCAAAACTTTGGATAAGGTAGGACCACTCTGTAGTTTAGTCCTCAGAATAAAAATAAGAGATGAGAGCTCTATTATTTTTAGTTTGAAAGAGAGCTTTTATAATTTACCCAAGGGTAAAGAACTACCGAGAAGCAACAATCACAATCTTCATCCAGATAGACTACGGCCAGATTCTTTTCTCTTATCTTACCTCACAGTCTACCTGACAGGAAGATGTATGGTAGAGAAAAATCATCCCCTAGAGAATAAGGATTATAGATGAACTCTTTCTTACCACCCCAATTTTTGGCCAGTATTTTATCCCACCTGGTAACATTCGTTTCCACAAGCACAACCTTTCTGAAGTCCAAATACCATGTATTTGCCACCATGCTTTTACTTGTGTTCAGAGAAGGCCAAAAAATGTCACTTAAGAATTCATATAAGAGCATATAAGCATGAATATTTAAAATCTTAAAAATCATGTCTAGCTTTCCTTTCTCATTTTTAAAAATGCAGCATTATTATAGCTAAAAAACTTTCTTAGAGGTTGATGTGAGACCATTTTATATGTCTCGCTCTACCTTGTGGAAAATTCTAAGTGATATACACCCGAATGCCTTCTGTCATTAACGTCAGAAACTACAAATCTAACACCTGATGTATTTCTGAAGTTGTAAAATGAAATAAATGTTCATACATAACATGCCTCTGTAATGTATGTTCTCTTTTCTTTCATGAAGGCTTAACTGTTTAAAAGCTATCATGAACTGAACAAATCTATTTATTTTTTCCTCTCTGAAGCTTCTGTATTATTCTCATGAGTCAAGGAAAAAGTTTTTATTGCCTGTACAAATCAAGAGTAAAACACAAATGCTAATTGAGAAGGCTGAGTACTACACGGAGAAATGATGAAAGGAAAGATGCCAGCACAAACAGAACATGGCTATTTATTTTCATCCCAAATGAATCAACTACTGCTCACAAATGTGGGTCTCATATGAATTCAGGCAACAAACCACCAAAGGATCAACCTCTGAGGAGACTGCTTGCACACAAACAGCGTGCGTTGACTTCTCTTGCTAGAATATACAAAGCAGTTATCTCTCCTTTGTTGGAACAATCACACAACTCATAAATGATGGATTGTACATAGAGGACAGTGGGAGATTTCCCAAGCTCCGAAGAGTAACTACTCATTCAAAGATGCTAGTATTTCTTCTTTTCAAAGCCACTGGGCAGTCCTAAGAGATAAGGTCAGCAGGAATTGCCCTGGTTAATACACATCACAGATAGGATTTCCTGGCATCAGTTGAATGAAGAAAGAAAATTAAGCCATGTTTTATCTGAATGTACTACTGACGAAGATATGGAGTTATCTCCACACCTATACTCCACAGGTACCACCAGCTTTGTTCTTTCTGTTTCATTGTCTATCAGAGACCCTGGATGGGACATAAAACCCCATTATGTTTCAGAAACACCCACATGAGTCAGAGAGCTTTCTCTAAAGTTTATTGGGCCCTACTACAAATAGTCTGTTTCAGAAATGCCACATTTAATTAACTTGAAACAGGGAACAAAGACCTTTCATTTTAGAGACAGGACGAATGGAGTTTGAAAACAAAAAAAATTTTTTTTAAAGCAAACCACTTACCTTTTGTAGCAATTCTCACACACTGGGTTTTAGTTTCCTGGTGGAGTGAAAAATGAAAGAAAACAGTCAATGAATAGGTCATTGTTCCTATCTCACAAACCACAAGTATTACAAAGATCAATCTGGGGTCGTAAAATAGGATCACACAGAATGGCAGTAGGAGGAGTGCTGGCTCAATCACTGATGAGTTTAGCAATCCTGTTTGTTCTGCAGGGTTTGGGATGGGCTGGGGCTCCTGTCAGCAAATGGGAAGTCACAGAGTTCTAGAGCAAGGGATCTTTTTGTTGGAGAATTATGGTATCAAGACATTTTTTTTTTATTTCCTAACATAAAGTCTCACAATTAAAAAAAAAATCTAAAATAAAAACTTTCAGAAAACATGCGGTATTTTCTGAAGATGATGGCATCTGTTTTCACTTTGTCAGGGACAAGTGGAACAGCATTCTGTTCACATCATAAGCCACCAGAAAGAAAAATGTATTTGTAAAGCTAATATAAACCAGAAGCAAATATAAATTTGAATTTCACCTGATAGCTATAGAGTCATACCAAAGCTAAACACAGTATACCCTCCATGGGCTCTGAGATGACTAAAGAGTTAAATGTCAGTCACTAGAAAGATGACGTAAACATTGCATCACAGTCGGTTTATTTTATGCGCTCTTTCCTTTTCATTTAGCTCTGAAGAGTTAAGTATTTCTCAGTGTAGATTACTTTTTCCCTCTTGCTAGAGGAACGGAGTAGAGAAAGGAGAAGTATAAGAAGGAGGTGATAAGAACTATTACTATTTTTTGATGTTGTGGAGGGGGGAAGTGGAAAACAAGACAGGCGGGGCCCCCAGGAGGTCTCTGGGCCAATGCCTCACTTCTCAAGGATTTAGTTCAGTCTGTGTCTGTCTCTCCAGCACAACAGGTTGGAAGAGGTGTCAAAGCCAGTGAACTTAACAGAGGCTGTGGAGACTCAGCATGACCTGACTACAGCCATCTTGGTTGTAAAAGCCATTTTGCATACCACGTGCCCCTGGCATGCGTCCAACACCCTATTGGGCAAACAAGACCATTGAGATAGTCATTGCTCTGGCCATTGACCCCTGCGCTCTTTCCTGACTGACACTGGGCGTGTTTTCAAGAATCTCAGGACACTGTGCTTGAGGATCAGGCATATTTGTCTAGCTCAACACACAAACCTCTTCCTCTTCCCTCAGGTGCAGGTTCTTCCTGTCTGGTTGCCACCCTAGTCATGCTTTTGCCCACAGATCCCTAATAAGTTGTATTTTACACAATTCTCAATCTGTCTACCTCTTCCTTTGGTCTCTTGGCCAGTTCCACATTTGCCTGCTAGTTCTCACACATGGGAGGGTTTTTTTTTTCCAAAACAAGGAGCTATTTGTTATCAAAAGCATTTGTATCTCCATCATGAGGAGAGCTATATGTTGGCAAAGCCTAATAATTGAAGCATTTGTTTTCAGTTTAAATAAGATCGTCTAAGGGAGGGAGGAATAGCGAGTTAAAAAGTACTTTCTATTACTTAATAGAGACCTGAGATGGTAGGAAGCTTCAGGGAAGACGTTCACATTCTCAGAGAGGCCCAAGGGACTCTGATTTCCTAAAAGCAATCTCTATTGACTTTCTGAAGGGATTACCAGGCTCTGCTGGTGGGAGACATGCCAATTTTAAAACTCTTTTGCTAAGGAGTTTGTGAAATATGCCTGGACTACTCTAAACTTTGATTAAACTACACTGCAAGTACAGAACAAGAGAAGCCTTTACACAGTGCCACTGTAAATCCCCCACAAGTAACAGAGATTAACTTTTCCCTCTTCCCCTAGACCATGTAGCAAGAGTCAATCTGGAACTTTTTACCTCTCTAAAGATTAAAACTCAAAGGCAGAGCTCTGTTTTCCCACCTCTATGCTACTTCAGATCCAGAGTGGATCAGTAACTTCCAGAGTTCTCTTTGGCAGCCGCCCAGTTGTTTGGAGCGATGAGGATTTGGAAAGCAGGTGACACGCTTGTCTCTAAAGACTTCCAGTTACACAGGAGGAGACTGGAAGGATAGAACGGCACCTTCGCCCCAGCCAGCCTCTGGCTTTGGAGTAGGACTAGAAGATGCTATGGAACTTTTCTCTGCTGTGTGCCGCAAGCCAACCACATAGGTCAGCCCAAACATAAAGCTATGGACTTACTACTCAAGTTCTCAGGGCTGGTGTGAAATGCAAAGGAGTGATGTCTTCCAATTAAACAATCCCAAGATAAAACATGGCAGATGTAATTGGACATCACAAATTTCCCATCAACTCCCAGAAGCCCACCTGGGGACTCAGTGATACAAAATAAGCAGGAAAATAAAAATGCCTACAGGTCACGAATATGTCAGCAGTCAACTGGATGCGAAACTGTGGATGGATATTTCTGTTGTCCGTATTTGTTTCCTATCCCACTCTGTCAATATACAGATATGTATGTATGTATATAAAGTAAGTTTTAGGAAAGAAAAATCTTTCAAAGAGAACAGCATGAGACATAAAAGGCCAGGTTGTTCCTCCCCGTATGGAGCCCCTGCTTGTTTCTAATGTCCTGTGGTGCTTCCCTCTTCAATATTCATCTGGGATCAGCGGCAGCATTCAAAAGCAACTGCGTCCAAAAATGTGAAAAGGAGGGGCCGCCGGAGGGGTGCAGAGCGGCTTCGGTAATGCGCAGCACCTGCTGTCGCCAGCAGCCTTCTCGTAGGCCCTGTCAGCTGGACCGCGGGCTCCTCATCACTTGTGATCAGAGAATTGTCACTTGTTATTTGCTATTTGGCTTGTACCCCTGAAAAGTTTATGAGGGTTTATTAGCCTGCTGCGGAATGCGCGCTGTTTATCCTGCAGTAAACGGAATCTTTTGAGCGAGCCACTGGGGATCAAGGGAGGGAGGACAGTCCCGGGGGGCATGGGGTGGCCTCTGTCCAACCTTGCACTGGCCATCCTGGCCTTTCCAAAGGGAGCAGCCAGGTCCCCAAACGTGGCTCAAGGGAAGGACACTGCACCTCCACGCGCTCTTGCTTTGCTTCCCTCTCTGCTTCCTCCTGACAAACACGACGGACTCTTTTTCACACAAGGCTCTGGCTGCTGCTCAGAGCCGGGAGGACGCAGGTCTGGGATGCTCACCTTCTCCACGCTGCTCATGGCCTGGAAGTAGATGTTGTAGCCCTTCCGGGGCGCCAGGGGTGGGTTCCAGAAGCCTTGGTAGGTCCTGTTGTCGCCCACCGTGAAGGGGGCAGGTTCGGGGAGATTCCCGGGGGGCAGCTCGGCGGCAAAGTAATAGGGGGAGCCCCCGCTCACGGAACTCTGGTAGGTGACAGGGACCTGGTAGCACTCCATGGCCCCGGCCTCCCGCTTGGTCCTATGAGGGTGCAGCTCCTCCACGACAATTTGATACGCGCTTTGGGGAGGAAAGGAAAAAGAGCACAGTGTAAACATGCCAATCTGTTCAAAGTTTTTCTTATATATAAAACAAAGGATGGAAAATAAATGTGCCACCTGGGTGTGGCGGCCCAGGGCCAAAATCACAGCCCTTGGGAGGCTGAAGCAAGAGGATCCTAGTAAGTTCAAGGGCAGCCCAGGTGACACAGCACTTGGAACTACATATAACAGGGCTCTGTCTCAAAAACCAAAATAAAATAAAACAAACACGTCATACTCAAAAGCACGTAAACTCAGCCTTAACCTATGTACTCTTGTTCTCAGCAATTTTGCAATAAAAACAGAATTTTCCACGCCTTTTTCAACAGACATTTAATAAAGAACCGAAAAAAGCAAGAAAAACCATAGAACTCTGCGCACTCTCAAGCATTGAGAAAGAAGCCGCTGAAGTAAGGTCCGGGACACCCATCAGTCTGCCTCTGACGCTTACTTGCACAAGTTCAAAGCGGACACTTTCCTGGAGCAGCAATCAGGCCAGGCCCAGCTCCAAGGCCCAACGGAACGCCGGCCTGGGGCACTGCATGGGCACCAGTTGGCAGTCGGCGCAGCCTTGAGGACAGAAAGCGCGGCAGGGCGGACGTGTCCTCACGACCTTGCTGTTTCCCTGCGCTCCGAGTCACGCAGAGTTTAAGTGCAAGGGACCCGCGGCAGTGAGGGCACAGATGGGCCGAAGTCTGTCCTCCAGCTGAAGGAACCGCGTCCCATTCTGGGCGTTGTTAATAATACAGTGTCACAGTTTGTAGAAACAGATGGCCCTCGGCCTGAGAAAGCTGCAACCTGAACCTTCTAAAACCTTTCTTAAACGTCTCAAAACTTTTCTGTGGTGCCTGTACTCCTATGGAGGACAGAACAGAAAAACGGCAATGCAAGTTTAAAATAAAGAGCTCCTGGATCTCTAGTAATTATTTTTGCCAGGTACTGAGACTGGCATAACAAACACATTCTTCCTTTATAGAAAATTCCTTAGTTCAATTTTTCCTTTTTTAATTAGGTAAACTGTATCTAGGAAACTATTAATATATTTTGTATATTATTAGTGCATTCAAAAAGATGCGAAATCCTGAAACAGTTGTGGCAAAACCATAGTGGTAACTTGTGTAAATTCAGTATCACGAAGCCGCACATCGACTCGTGAGATTTTAGCAAATGTTCTCCTTTGATTTCTTCTGCACAGGGTAGGCAGTCGTTATTCAGTGGCTCCCTGGCAGCAGTACAGTGTTTTCTTTAATAGTCTTGCATAAAAAGATTGAGAAAGACAGAATTGAGGGTGTGATAAGCTCAGAATCTTGTAAGCTATTCCAACTTAAATGCCAACTGAGTTAACCTCAGTTTGACTGAAAGAGTTGAAAATTCAAAAATTAAAAAATTTCTCATTAAAATTCCTATTTTTCATTAGAATATCGCTAAGATCCCGGAAGACTGGTACCCATTTCTTTACCTCTTGGAGTAGGACTAAAATCGTGTTAATGCCAAAAATTGCGCTCTGCGCAGGTAAGAAAGGCAGGAGTCTACACTACTGCGAACGAGGTGTGCTGCCTCCCTGGCTACACCTGCCGCGCTGGGTCACAGAGCTGAAGGGATTGCTGCTGATGAGATGCACGCTCTCGGCCATACCTACAGAGCACATGTGCCAACATACAGAGATACGGGAGCATGACCTAGAGAAAGGAGGGTCAGAGTTGACATATGTTACTTTAAGGAAAGCTACCACTATTCTATTGTTAATTTATAATCCATACTTATGTGGTACATTTACCTGTCCTGTGTCCATCCATATAAATGGACCCCTATGAACTTAACTCCAAATCTTGTCTTAATCAACAGTAATGGAAATTATCCATCGTTGTCAATAATTTAAGCTAACCCTTAAAAAAGAAGTTCGTGAACGACTCCATACTTCCAGAATAATGCACAAAATCTACTGAACTTTCAATCTTACCTAGCTCTGCTACACTGACACAGATACCATGTGGCAAATTAGGATACTTCATGTAAGACAGCTTGTGGCTCTCCAGACTTATTAGGAGCAAAGCAAACTGCCAGTGCCAAGAGGAGGGAACAAGAAGAGATGCAATCTGCTCTTTGAGAGAGGACCTGGAGCACGGTTTTGCAGAAGTTAGAATCAGCAGCTTGAACGGAACATTCCGATTTGGAACTATTCCCAATTAAAAGAAAGACAAATTATTTCCATTTTATAAGCTAAGGATGTTTTTATAAGGCCTGTAAATTAAGAAAAGTATTTCCAAATACAATACGAATCACTGAGTAACATGCACTTTAATCTTGTAATACATCTTTTATTTACTAAATGAATATTACGTATTCTGGGATGTGACTGTCAATGCTGACCTGTCAGCTTGATCGAATTAAGAGATCCCTAGCAGAGAGTAAAGCACAATTCTGGGTGTGTCTGGAGGCATGATCTTGAGTACTATACACGGGGCCTGGCCCCTTTCCACTCTGCTACTGTTCACCTGTTGCCTGGCAGCCATGAACTGAGAATCTTTGTGCCACAGGCCCATCTGCCATGATGATTTTGCCTTGGATCCAGCTGACGAGGGACTGAATCCTCTGAAACTGACAGCCAAAGTAAATCTTTCCTCCTTTAAATTGTGGGTATTGTATCCCAGCCATGGGAAAACTATTAATACAAATGATCATAGAAGAAATGAAGTGTATTTTGGTTATTATGGAGAAACCAAGTTAAAGAGAAATCGAGCTGACATTTAAACTTACAGTACTAGTCTGTCCTTCTGCATTTTGGACTATACTGGCATAAATTGAATATTTTTTGTCTACCTCACCCTGAGAGAAAGTTTTGAGAAAATAATTTGTTTAGATGCGAAGCCACTAAAAAGAACTGAATCTACCAATGTATTAGCTTTGATCATAGACTTCCTATCTTTTCTGGGAAAAATAAATGAAGATTATGAATCCACATTAATTTTATTAAAATCACATGAGTAGAATGAGAAGTATACCTTAAAAGAAAGGCTTTGGAAAACTGGTTTCCAAGCTTATTTCCTAAAATGTCCTTTGTGCAGTGGTTCACATAAGACACAAAGCCAGAGGGAAGTGGCCAGATCTTCTTAACCTTCTCCTCCCACTACACAACTTCCTACCTGCCAGTAGAAATGTCTTGATGATACACTCTCAGCTCAGTTCCAACCATGCTTAACTACACAAGTTGGCCCAGTAGCCATCATGGTTTGTTTTTTTTTTCATTCGAGTTTTTTAACACAGTAATGAGCATTTAAGTAAGCGTGTGCAGAACGAATAAATCACTTTTTTCCTCATGTTGTTCATACCTAGATAAGACGTATTCAGAGCATTATTTTCTTTTCACGTGTGAGCACTTCAATCACTTCCAAAATACGGAACAATATTTGAAGGTGAGAATTTTGTCAATGAGCTTTCTTTCTGGGACTTTACATCCACCTATTATCTTATTCATTAACTTTCACTCAAAATTATGCATTGAACACCTCCGTACAGTCCTGCTCACAGTCCTTACATTTGCTTTTTTCTCCTAAAATTCTGAAACTTCCACAGTTGTTAGAAAGCTTTCTGCCCTCTCATATCTGATATAATTTAATACAACAACAACAAACCCCATAGAATTTACTTTCTTTAGAACCCTCTCCACTTAAAAGTGTTTCATTGCCCCAGTAAGCTTTTAAAGTGACTAAGATTTCTAGAGTCATGTTAAAACACCTTTTATGTTGAATTTTTCTCTTCCACTCAGACCAAGCTGAAATCAAGTGTACTTTCTCTTGGTTAACACCACCTTGAAATATCCCTTTCCAGTTTGAAAATCTGGGCACGCATCTCTCCGATGTGCTGCTATCTTTACTTGTAGAAGCTTCTCAGCCTGCTACCTGTTCAGCACACTGGAAAAATGAAAAATATCTTTCCATGTAATGAGACTGCTCAGAATTCTCCAGCGGCATTTTAGTGTCACTCGCTGTACGCAGTCTTTAATCTGCGCCTATAGCACCTATCATTCTGAGCATCTATTCAGATCTCTTCTTCCTGCTCCTGGAGAAGACATGTGCATCATGTACATGGAGACCAACCACAAGCATGGCGACTCCTTAAACAAATGTTTGTGCACAGCAAGAAGTAGCTATAAAAATAACTGAGGTCTCTGTAGGGAGAAATCACATTGAACGTGGCATGGAACTCCAAACTAAGAAGTATAAAGTTCACCCTTAAAAGAACTGTCTTGCCTTCAAGGTTCATTTTGAGAGGAGTTCTCCAACAACATATTCTCACTTTTAAAAATCTGCTTCTATCTTTGTTGCCTTCTTATTTGTCAAGACAAGTTAAGTAAAGAATAGAAAATGAAAAGAAATCAAATTAGAAGTGATCTAACTAACAGCATGAAATGGGCCTGAACCTTTCATTCTTCTGATTGTCTAATTACTGAATGGTACTTAACTCTAGCTAGATCTAAGTCATTATTTGAGCTCCATACTCCAGCAAATATATTCCAAATCCATGATAGTATTTTCCTTCATTCTACCTGTTTCCCACCATTCCTCTTAATTAAAATTTTAATAAAAGCAGCAAGTAAATATATGAAAAAAGGTTCCACATCACTGGTCATTCGAGAGGTGCAGATGAAAACAACACTGAGATTCTACCTCCCCCCACAAACAATGGGCTGCTATCAAGAAATCAATCAATACAAATGTTGGCAGGGTTGTGGGGAGAAAGGAACCCTTCTCCATAGTTGGTGGGAGTGCAGACTGGTGCAACCACTATGGAAATCAATATGGCGATACCTCAAAGAGCTGGGACTAGAAGTTCCATTTGACACAGCCATCCCTCTGCTGGGTATCTTTCCAAAAGAATTAAAAGAGTCATATCACAGTGATATATGCACACCTATGTTTATAGTGGCACAGTTTGTAATAGCTAAAACTTGGAAACAGCCCATTTGCCCATCAGTTGGAA